GGTCCTGCAGCGCGTTTTGAGCAGCAGAAGCAGCGCGTCATGAGCTCAGCATCATACGCGTGCGACGTGCTGCGAAGGCAGCAGATGCTGGAGTTGGAAAAACCGAACATTTCTTGCTCGACACGCCACATAAACCAATCAGAGAAGCTGATCTGGGAACTGGCAAGGAGACAGACACAGCTGCTGATGTATATCACTATGATCACTTCTCTGAAACAGTTCATTAAGGCCTGAATTAACTCAAAGTGTCGTAACCTGCCAGCAAAATATGTTTCCAACGGCAAAATAATATTTCAATTTAAGATCGAAATCTTGATGAACTGACTGCACAGATGACATTTTAAGGTGGACTTTCTCATTTAAAAACATATTAAAAGTACAGTATGTTTTACCCACTTATAAAATCAGCTCTCTGCCATGAAACATAGGAGCAGCAGAAGCATCAGACACATCTGGCCACACTTTACTGGGCATCTGACCTTAATGTGGACAAGCATCAGAAATGAAGCAGCAGACGCTTTTTTGCTGCTCTCATTGCTTGTGGTCTGAGCGTAGCATTATTCATTAAAATAAGCCAAGCGATGACGATGTCATCCGCTTTTGTTACAGGCAAAGAAAGGATAGGGTAGCTCCACCCTACACGCATCAGACCCACTTTTCGACAGCGCAGCTAGAGCAGCAAAGATGCTTCAGCTGCACGTCAGAACTAAACCTATACAAGCATAAAAAAATGAAGCAGCTTGGCATTTTTGCTGCTTCCAGTGCTTACAATCTGATTGTAGCATTAGAGCTATCGGGGCCCACATCAAGGCAAAAACCTGCAATTGTCAAGGTAAAACTTGCTCTAAAGTTATACTTTCCTCTTAAACTCATGACTTGCTGTTTGAGAAAAATGAGAAGGATAACAGTGTTCTGTTCTTTTTACTAAAATCATTTTATTTTTTATGTGCTATGGCTTTTTCAAGTGTTTGAGCACTTTACAGGAACAGGTTAGATGATGTGGCCTTTAAGGGGAAAGAAGCAAAGATATCTGTTATAGATCCATTAGAAATGGACAAATGCAAAATGGTAAGTCCATTAGAGTGACTGGTATATTTACTTATATCAATCCTATATGCTTATATATGCTTATATGGTCTTTATTTATAGTCGGAAAATTGAAATGAACATAAATGTAAAATCATATAAACGCTTTCATAAGAACGTTACAGAAAAGTGAGCACAAGTCAACACTTGATGCTTAGTAGCACAGTCTGCTCACTTTTATTTGGATTTTCTGAATGTAATGACAGGTTTGTTTTATATAAACACAATGAAGCCCAACAAAATGCACCCACTGTGGTTCTTTTACAAGTAATATTTAAGTGAAAAGCAGCCTGTGGTTTCATTGTACCGTGGAGGTTGAAATCATGAGGTAAATATCTATAAGGAAGAAGCTGAGAGGGAAGATGCATAAAGTCTCACAAGGGAAAAAAAAAACAAATAAAACAAACAACCCTACTCAGATGTCATGACTCTGATTAACTTTTGTGGAGTACCTACACAATGGGAGTACAACAAGGTTTGGTTTTAGGCACATTATTATTTCCATTATATATAAGATGTAAAGATCAGGATGTATGCAGACTATATACATATTGATACATATAATAATGGTATAGTCTGCCAAGTTGTCAGATAATTGGGAAAATCTTAACTTCTGTCATGTTGACTGAACAGGAGGAGAATAAATGGGAGAGAAAAACAAAGACCAGGCTGATTAGCAGATTGGGAGCAGTTGTGAACAGAGGCAAGAAGGGAGCTAGGGGAAAGAAGAGTGACACAAGAGGGCAAACAGGAAATATCCCAGAACTTAAATACAATCAGAAATACCTAGAACACAAGAATCTAAATAACACCAATGAAAACTCAAAATAAAACTTGAACAAAAACATTACAACTTTGTTATGTGATTTATTTTTTTCATTTTGAGGAAAAAGCAGTGATGTATTCTTCTCATAAACAGAAATTTAAGGCGTTTTAACCGTCAAAAGTAAAGGAGAAAACATAGACAGGCGTCGTACTGGAGCAGACAAAAACAAAGTAAATATAATTTAAATGCACTGATATTTGGATGCATTGAAAAAAAAAACTTTTTTATGCCTCGAAACTATAAAATTTCTCTTACTGTGATATTATGTAATATTATGGCTTTCTATTAAAGATACGTTTCACTTGCTACTCCTTAGTTTTAAATGTTGGCAGGGTTGCTATGATAAAAAAAGTTTGTTGTAGTCAAAAAAAAGTCTTGAATGAAAGGTATGCAAATGTCTTCTTATTTTTACTGTAATACTGTGTATTATGCTTTCAATCCTTTATACCATGTAGTTAGATGGTATAAAGGATTGGAAGCATTTCGGGTGGAAATCTTTAAAAAAAAGATTATGAATTCCTAGTGGACCCATACAATTGGTGATGTGTTGAATGTGAACTATAGGAAAACTCTATATTCTCTATTTGATATTAAAGAATATGCAGCCCAAATAAACAGCATATATCACATACTCTTTAAGTGCCAATTAGTAACTGTATGTATAGTTTAGAAAAAAAGAAGCATTGAAAGAAAATCTAGAGTCAATATTCAAACAATAAATCATAATTTGCTCGTCTTTCAAGGTGAATTCATCCCCAGCTATCTAATAATCTAAAATCTTTTACCGTCTCTCTCTATACAAACATAATGAATCCCTCCAACAGCTAAAGGTGAGAACAGTTCCTAACTCCTATACGACTGCCAGGACTGTTTCTTCATGACATCGCTCCGCTTTGTATCTCCCACGAGATTTATTTTTCCAAGACAGGAACAAAACTGTGTTGTTCCTGGCCTGTTAAATTTAGACAAAGTGAAAAAAGAAATGCGGCTTAGCTATAAAAGATAAATTACCAGCCTGCCACAATGAAGGTTCTGTCAGGACGATAGTTGGAGAAAGAAAAGTTTTATCGAAATAAGAAGACAGATGCCATTATTTATCATCTCAAATCTTACTTATTTATGAAGCAGAAACAGAATGAAATTCTCGGTTGAATTCATCCTGAATTATTTAATCTGAAATGGTTAATTCCATACAAAGCCCAAGCAGATCCCTCCTCTGTTCTGATAAATACTTTATTACCACTCCTAAATAAGAAAAAAAAAGGAGCAGGAAGGGAAAAAGATGAAAAAATTTGTTCTTTCTGCTTCGTTTTGTGCTGTTTGAGAACATTTGAGATGTTTGTTTTGCAGCTTATTGGAAGAACTTTTAAACTGTAGTATACAATCGTTCTATTGCCTATAAAGGAAAACAAAAGCCATGTAATGGATAATGATGTGAGACTTACTGAAAATTATCCAAACACTTCTATGAGTTGTTTTTTTTTCTTTCACGCTCGTGAGGGGAATCTTCCCGCTGTCCAAGGTTGACAAAGTCACAAGACAACTAATGAAAAGGGACACATCGCTGATTGCAGCTATATCTGGAGCTGAGGTGGAAGTGGCATCGATTTAACAATTTAGCAGCACCCTCATCTGTGTGTTTCCATTAGTCACGGCTGAATACCACCCACTCCCAACCCCCCATCCACCAACTCTCACACCACCACCCCATCTCAGTCCATCCAAACACACACAAACAAACTCTCTCTCTCTTTAACACACACACTTATCCAAACGCTTCCGAGGTATATCTTTTAGCTCCAGAAAATACTTTACATCATCTGAAGGGAATTCCATGACAACACGAGGGCACATAGAGAGAACACTGCCATGCTACAGAATGCACTTTTTATTTTCGTGATGTGGTGCATTTGCAGGCTGTTGTTCAAGTGTACAGTAGTGTAATTGGTTTCAGGGGTGGAAACTGTACAGGATTTTGACTGTAATCACTGAAGTACTATAGAGTCTGCATAGAATGTTGTAAAAAGTCAGGAATTATTGTGTGTTGAAACGGGAGCAGGTGTAAACTGACTGTTCTCTGCAAAAGATATTTTTTTGTGCATTCAAGATAACAATGTTAGGTCTCTCAGATGTGGAACAAAGATGTCATGTTGCTGGAATTTTAATGGCAAGGAAAGAAAATTGCATTTTAATTTTTTTTTTTCAATAAGCAAATGAAAATATTTTACTAATATTTTATATGTCTGCACTGTCCTCAGTTGGATGCTGTTGTATCAAAAGTTAAACTTTGAGATGCTGGTGTCCATCTGCCCAACATCCTAGTCTTGTCAGTCCACTAAGTGCTGGAAAATATTTCTGGATGTTTCATCACTTTATTTGTTTAATAAAATTGCAGATGGTCTTTGTCTTTTGCTCTCCTGGGACTTGTGGTTGGGAAATTATCCCTCCAGACTCACCATTATCCAGTCAGGCTAATGGGTATAGATGGTAGCCTTAACCAACATACTTTTGGTAGAAACAATGGCAAAGTTTGTTTGAAAAAACAGCAACACAAAATAAAAATGTTGTAGTCACAAAACCTCATTGAAAAAAGCTATGATTTTCAGTATTATTGACAGCATGAAAACTTTTTTAAAAGTCTAAAACTATCCATCTCTACAGTTTGATGTAGAGTCAACTAATAAGTTGTAGCTAGCAGTGTCAAACAATGTAACCTATCTGGTTGTTCTGACAATAACAACAATGTGATTTGAAGGTTTAAAGGGTTCATATTGTATATAGTTACTTAGTGTTCAATCCCATGGGGTTTAAATACATGTAGTGGTTTAAAATTGATAGATTTAGCACAACCTGGCTAGGCCTAGCCTAATACACTGGTCCGTAAAAAGTTGTCTTGATCTGCAAATGATAATGGGATTATATCCAAAACGTTAAGGCAAGAGAAAGCTCTGGAACACACTATCTACCATTATGTCCTGCAAAACAGAGCCTGTTATTTAATCTGCTCTCGCTTGACTAAACGTAGAGGGAACTGATGATGATGTACAGTTGATCCGCTCAGGTTAATACAGCTAGCAACCTTTTTGCTAATGATTTCTGAAAATGTAGCAGTTTTCTTTAAGAAAGGCTCAGAATTTCTTTCTAGGTAGAAATTACAGTATAGGGGAGTATCAGGGTCAATACATTTGGGATTAGGCAATAACAAAGGACGATGCAGACAACACAGAGATTGAAGGAGGTTGCATCACTGCCACATGAAAGGTACTACATATTTTTTTCCTTTAAAGACTCCTTTACCATTTAGCCCATTATGCCTTACAGTATGGAAAATTAAAACTCTTATAAAGTGTCTTGCATTGAAACAAGCCTGGATTGGAAAATCAGAGTTTGAGGTACAGTCATTCTGTCTGATCGCAAACACAAAATGTAGACTTTTGTTTTTAGTCCATAGGTCCAAGTGCTACTATGTTCATAGACTACAAACATGATGTAGACCGCATGAGTTCGAAGGGTTGCCCAGATGTTTCACTGTCTATCATGGATTCGTTGAGGCCTTTCCACAGCTCAGTTGGTTTGGGCTGCTGGAATGGAGGACCATGGAATACCCCATCCACCCACTCTCTCAGTGTGGCCACTGGTGACTCTTGTTGCCGGTCCATGCTGGTGAGCGCCATGTTTGTTGGGTACACAGGAGAAGAGGACCGTGTTGATGAAAGCATGCACGGAGGGTATTCTGGCTGGGAACTGGCTTCTGGTGGAACGGCTGTGTGTGCGATAGACCAGATTTTTGGCTTGGGGTCAGGACTTCGAATATCTGGATTCATGAAGAAAGAGCTGTTTTGAGGGTTGACTGTTGTTAGTTTGGGGCAATCTGATGATGACCTCTGCCCATGTGGTGGATTTGTGTTTGGGTTTGCTTCATCCTCCTCTGGTTGAGCATGTGACTTAGGGTCGCTATCAGACGCGTCTGACTCCACCATGTCGAAGTCCTCAGGGTCACTCTGCAGTTCAGCACATCTTTGATCTGCCAAAACAACCAAAGCAGGTAGTGATGAGACTGTGACTTGCAAACTGAACCCAAAGAGAAACCATCTCTGGTTTGCCTTACCATGAATGTGTGTGCTACTTCTAAGCGGCTTCTCGGCTTCCCTGCTGTCTTCATCACAACCTCTTTCATCAGAACTTTTACAAGCTCTGGGTGACCATGTCACTTTGTTTTCTTTTTTCAGTCTCCTGCGGGCATTGGCAAACCAAGTAGAGACCTGACAGGCAAAGATAAACTTAAAATGAGTTGGTAAAAGGAGTCACTAGCGATCGACTTGAATTTTTTTTTTTAATACCATCTTTTTTCCAAGATCTGGAGGTGCCTGTCACTCCTCTTAAGCTTTAACATGTCTACTAATATTTAGATCTAGTGTAGACACACAGGATCAGTTAAGTGTACCCAAATACCCAAATATTATTTGCCCTGTTTGTTTGAATGCATGGCACACAAAACATATATCCTATTAAATATCAAATTCAAGCTGTTTTTGCAAATATATTTCTCCCTGGCAATTATAAATCAATGTATTGCACGGCTCAGAGTAAATTTTAATTTAAAAGAGGCGTTATTATTAAGGGTTTTGATGATATGTTGTAAAATGTTACAATATTTCCCATCAAGTGCTCATAGTGTCACCATGTCATCTTGCATATTCATCAGGTGAAGTTAGCATTAGCCATTATAATGAGGAATTGCTTTACATTGTCCCCACATGCATGCTTAGTATGAAGGGTTGCTGCAAAGTCAAAGACTCAATGGAGTCAGTAACTTTTAAAGTTCTAAGATAGAAAACTTTTACTAATTGTTCTAATAAACTGAATGAGTTATTATAACCAGGGTAAAATTGGAATTGAATTGTCAATAGAATTGTAATGTTTTGACTATTTTTGTTCTATATTAAAAGAGGACCTGTTTCTCTTATAAAATGCCAAGAGATTTACATTTGCTGTTAATTGGGCTAAATTGAGTCCTTGATATGAAAATTTGAAGAAAAAAAAGGAAATTACATATTGTAGGATTGGGCTTCACCACTTTTAAAATGTATTAGAAAATACAAAGTCCACAATAACATGACAAAATGGGAAAATACAACTACTGTAGGCGTTTTTATCCCATCCCATAAGCATTAAGCACTAAGTACTATCAGTGCCAAACCAAAGGGCCGTTTCCAATTTTAGCAGGTCTGGAGTACATTTTTCATAATTAAATCAGATACATCCAGACTTATGAATTCTACACAAAACAGACATTTCTTATAACACAGCTTGAGATGAGTGATTCCTTTGTTCTACATGTGAAAACACATAAAAGGAGCATTTTCAATGCTTTCTTAGTGTTAAAATTGTTTATACTGTATGAATGAGGAAAAGTTTGAATGGAATATTTATGGTTACAGATTATTAAAAATACAGCTTTTGGTTATTGCAAAGGCATTGATCTACTTACTCCTAAATAACATTCCCTAGAATTACACTTAAATCTTGCTTATTTAGATTACCTCCATACCGTCTCTGGTCTGCTTCCTGAGCTGGAACCTTTGCTGCATGTGTAAGTATGCATTAAAAAGTTAACAGGTTAAGCGTTTCACAACATACCTGTGTGAGAGTCATCCTTGTGATGATAGCAAGCATGATCTTCTCCCCCTTGGTGGGGTAGGGGTTCTTCTGGTGCTCCTGCAGCCAGGCCTTCAGCGTGCTGGTGGTCTCCCTGGTGGCATTTTTACGACGGGAGGAGCTGTCAGAGCAGGAATACCTGAGCCAGATAGATAATATACACACAATAGATCATGAATAACAGGTACCAAATTTGTTGTAAGAAACTCATTGCTAAAATATATATTAATTATATTTCAAATGAAGACAAATCTCTGTAGGTGATTATTTTTACAGCAATTTGTTTGTATATGATAATACCAGAAGTTATAATTAAATATATTGTTATAAAAAGGTTAAACAATATAGATTATGTTTTTACAAATATGTGATTATAAAAGTAATCCTAGTAAAGGATTCAAATTTCAATATTTCTCCATCAAGTGAAAAACTTACCCATATCTGTCATAAGGATATTGCCCAAATGTATATTCATAAGGATAATAGGCAGAGGTCTGAGATGTCCCCAAATGCACGGGTGCAGCTTCTTTGGGATCTAGTGGCCCCTAAAAGTGTTAAAGTTTAAATGTCAAGAATGCAATCTCCCTACATTTCTTTCTGACCTGTGCAAAGTGGTTCCATTTGTATTAGTGCTAAAAGCAAAAAGGTGAGGCCTGGCACTCACCCTGGAATAGAGAGATGAGGCATCGCTGGCGCATGTGTTGTAGTAGCTGTGTGTCTTTGGATAAGCGCTGCCGTAAACCCCGATGCTGCTTCCAGAAGGAAGCTGATGTCCTGGCGAGCGAAGCACTGGGTGAGATGCAGGAGAACTAGAGGTCATCAGAAACTAGAGAGAAATCAAAAGAAGTAATTTTATTAGTCTCACCTACAAAAAATTATGATAGTACACATGTACAAATTATATTGATTTGACTGTTTTTGCATGTAAACAACAATTAGGATAACAAACTCATCAATTAAAAGGTAAAAAAAAACTAAAATCCACATTTTATGTAGGTAACCCATAAAAATTATAGAAACATCATATAAATGGTATTCTGAACTCAATATTTATAATCAGTATAATGCACAACTATAATGTATTAAAATAAAAAATAAGTAAAAACTAGGTAAGTAATAATAAAAAAATTGCAGATTTAAACAAAATATTGTAAAAAAAAAATTCTACAAATTGATATTTAAAAATCTTTGTTTAGTGTAAAATTAAAACAACAACAGCTTATAAAAATATTAAAAATAAATAAATCAAGCAAATGTTTACATTTAAGCTACATAAAACATCATTAATCACAACAATGAAACAAAACACGCATAGAAAATGAAGATAAACTCATTTACTGAAAAAAATACGATTAAAATGCATAGGCAAAAAAAAATACAAAAAAGTCAACAACAATACATTTAATTTATTAAATACTTTACTTTAAAAGAGGTAAACTAAATGTATTAAAATTAAACTAATATAAACTAATATATGTAAAATTAAACACAAAAAACTGTGATAAAATTCATTAGATAAACCTTAATATAAAAATATGTTAAATAAAAAGATTAAAAATCAATATAAAGTCACATCAAATGTGCCAAAACATAAATAAACAGTAAAGGCAAAAGCATACAACAAAACCAATTAGTAGAAAAATAAGAAACTAAATGAAAAAGTAAATCATGTTTAGGGGGAAATGTAAAAAATATATAGCTAGGCTAGAATGATTTGCAAAGAAAGGCATTGTGGCAAAATACTGTTTGAGTTTGCGCACTTTCTTTATGATCTAAAACATGGGACAGTTTACTTAAACTGATTGCTTCTGATAAAACAAACTTTACGTTTATATCTATCAATATATATTTTAACTGAAAAGTACTTCACCTGTGGTGTGGTGGAGTAGGAATATCCCAGCTGTGAGTAAGCCATGTTTCAAAGTATGAAAAAAACGCAAAAGCAGGAAGAAAAACGCGTGGCCAGATCCAACAGCATCCGTGCCGCACAGAGGCTGTTTCCCCGCTGATACTAAATCAGAGAAACTTTTATTTCCGTCGCAGTAATCACTTTGTTTAGATCATAAAATCGTCTAACCCTCTGATCCAAACCGTGGCGCGCAGTCATTTACGCACCGCTGTCATCCAAAAGCGCGTCTGGAAGGAACTTCTCCGCTTTACTCACTTTCTACACCCTGCTTGCTCTCTTACAACCATCAGTCAGCTCCAGCTTTGATCTAAGCATGCGTCCTCCTGCGGTGCGCTCTTTGGACTTTAAACCGCATCTCCCTCTGACGTAAGCCCGGTGCGCATCAGGATGAAGGAACTCACCCAATTAATTCCCTCCCAGCTTCCTTTTCAGCCCTCATCCAGGAGGACAGCTCTGTGCTTCTAAGATCTGGTCCCCCAGGCGTAAAGAAAGCGTGATCAATTCTCCAAATAAACACCCACAGCTGCATGTCTGCACCTATGCACACATTTCTCCCCCTGCATGGCCAGAGGGGCGTGGGTAGGAGAGGGAAGGAGATCAGGGACGTGATGCGTTGACACCACATTGACACGAGATGATTGATGACTACAACCTGATATTAGCATAATCGTTTTGCCTCTGTAGTTTAGATAACTTGTCACCACTGAGAAATCTCGCTGTCACCCACGTATTCATGAGTGGGGGAAATTTCAGGTCTCCCCCGAGCAAATTAATCAAACAATAAACAGTCCACGCATTCCCTTGAGTAAGCACCTTTAGCAGCTGAATGGCTTGTCATGTTTTTAATAACTAAGTCTTAAGATGTGCAGATGAAGTGGAAAGGCTTTTTCTTTAATCTGCTGCCTTTCGGTCGCAGAAGATGTTTTTTGTGGATTAAAGAGCTAAATGGGCAAATTGTGATAGATTAAAAATGCAAAAATGTTTATATGCTGTAAATATTTAAGAACTGCAATTGTGAGGAAAAATAAGTAGGAAGGAAAGTAAGTTGGGGAGTGTGAGAAATTGAATTAAATAAAGATGTTAGTAATAGATTTTCTTTATGTTCCCCCTTTTTTTACTCTTTTGGAAATAAAAAAAATGGAAGAATAATGAATTTCAGACATTTATGATTATCACTTTTTGTCTGTTATGCCAAGTAGAAAACCAACAAGACTACAATTATTTTATTGGTTACATTTTGCAGAAATATAGAAATTTTTTAAACCTTTAAAATTCTCACTGTACCCATCCTTGGTACTTTGCATATTTAATATCCCGTTGTGGGGAAAAACAAAAAAAAACAAAGCTCTCAGCATAAATGTACCCCACCTAACTCTAGAGAGTCATTTGACATTCCCAGCTCAGAAGGAAACTATATGCTCTCCAGCTCTGAGCTGAGCTCTTAGTTGAATGGAACCCCTTAATCTACCTCTAAACTTGAGCTCAGCCTCCTGGTGAAGGAATCCCATCCCTGGATGTTCACCAATTTCAGGCATCTGTGGAAGACTACCTTTGTTTTTCAATATTTTTTTATTTCCTTAATTAAACTTTATTGAAAATGATTTAGAGTAAAATCATATACAATGGACACAAATGAGGGAAAGGAAGGTGAGAAAGAAAGAGGGTATGACAACTAAGGGGAGATAAAAAGAGATAAAGACAGTAAAGAGTGCATGAAAAGAGAGAAAATAAAACAAAACAGCTAAAATAGACAAAACAGAAAATATACAGTAACTTCTAAAAGTCCATATCCCTTAGATAGGGATAACCGCTACAGATGATTTCATATTTTAACTTTTGCTGACTTAGCAGAAAAGTACTGATATCAGCTATTATTTTTGTTTGCTTGGTCTTTTATCTAATCAAATCAAGTTTAAATGGAAACCAGTTAATGGCAAACTTTTAAATTCCAAGGATCCAACCTCATCCTGCAATCTGCAGCTCCTGGCTGCTGTTTCTAATTCTTCTTCCTTCATCTTTCACAGGGTCAACATTAGAAACACTATCATGGGTAGAAGAGGGACTTCAGATTTGAAGCACCCTGCTTGCTTTTGTTACCTCCTACATTAATGCAAAGACTCTGAGACAGAAATTTTCATGGTCACTTCTGACACACTTCTGCTTTGGTTTAAGGGTCCTTACCGATCCGATGAATTCGGAGGACCTCAGCTGTTTTTCTACTGCAATCTTTAACACCTTGATACCAGAATTTATATATATATATATATATATATATATATATATATATATATATATTTGTTTTTTTCAATTCAGTTTATTTATATAGCGCCAATTCAATACACAAGTCATCTCAAGGCACTTTACAGTTCAACCAGATCATACAGTCCAATTGATTCAAAGTTTTCTATCTAAGGGAAACCAGTTGATTGCCCTGATTCAAATGCAATCCCTCACACTAAGCATGCTTGTAGCAACAGTGGAGAGGAAAAAACAAAAAAAACTTTTAACAGGAAGAAATCACTAGCAGAACCAGGCTCAGTGTGAGCGGCCATCTGCCGAATTGACTGCACAAAAACAAATAGAAATTTAGGTATGTTCAACATTTTTTTCAACAGACTCTCCAGTTTAAAGCATACCAGACCAATAACAGCACGAAAGGCAGGAGTTTAGGCTTGCGCCAGAATTATCCATAATAAAAAAGTGCTTTAAAGTGACCATAACACTCAATAATGCAATCACAGTGAAACAATGTTTTAATGATGCCCGTTATTATGCCACAAATTAAGTGGATATATCTTTATAGGAGGCATAATCTGGTATTTTACTCATACAATCCTCTTGAAACTGATTTCCAATTTATGTTTAATGAATTTTAGTGGAAACGATTTTGAGCCCTTTTCATACCTCCTTTTTGCTTGCAAAAGAACACGTGAGAATTCCACTTAAGTATATGTTTGTGTTCATGTCCATGTAGCATCAGTAACATTCGCAATTTTCACTGGTTCATCTATTATTATCTTCAATTCTTTATCACAACATATAAAAAGTTACATAAGAAGTAACACTTACTGACCATCAGCAGGTGCACAGCAAATTCTAAGGTTTTATTCCATTGTTGGCATTGTGTGTCAAAAGTACAGTGTTACCTCAACATTTTTTTTTATATAATTCAAATGCAAAAATACAAACGCAACACTTTTGATTTTGCTCCCATTTTTTGAGATGAACTCAAAGATCTAAAATTTTTCCACATACACAATATCACCATTTCCCACCAATATTCACAAACCAGTCTAGATCTGAGAAAGGGAGCACCTCTCCTTTGCTGACTTAACCCTTACCACCTCACAGGTGTCCAATATCAAGATGCTGTTTAGACACCATGATTTGTGCACAAGTATGCTTTAGACTGCCCAAAATAAAAGGCCGCTCTCAAAGGGGCAGTTTCATCACAAAGCACAATGCCACAGATGCTGCAAGATTTGAAGGAGCTGCAATTGGCACGCCAAAAGCTAGCCTAAGACTAAGAAGAACTTCTGCTGTCAATCTAAAATAGATCTACTGAATATGTGAATAATGTTGCTTTCTGCAAATCAAACTGTTCAAAATAAAGTTTTCTAAAAATAATATATTCTAGCTGATTAAGGTAATGACATTTTCTCAATGTTTCTAACATCTTAGTCTACCATCAGAATTTATTTCTGACCACAAAGGCTATACCTGCACATATGTGTGTCACACTGGAAGATTACTGATGCTGCCCTTACTTGTAAATACTGTAGTTTAGATAGTTAGTCAATTCAAAAACGACAGCACTTTGCAGATCAATAACAAAGTTTGTCTTAACCTCATTATTTCTTTTAAGGTTGGGAACCCTATTACATGGTTGCTTTTATTAATATGTAGTTGAATGTGTCACAGTTAGGTGGAGGTTTTTGAGGACCCAAAAGCAAAGACTAGGAGGCAGAGGTGAGTCTTTCAAATTTAATGAGGCAGCTGAGGTAAAATCCAAATACCAAAAATCCAAAGAACCTAAAACCAAAACATCATGGAAAACTCAGGTTGGGAACCAGAGATGAAGAAGCAACAAAACAACAAACCAGACTGAGTGACTGTAGAGGTGGAGTATATATTGGGAGACTGAACCAAGACAAGCTAATCAGCAGATTGAGAGCCGGGCAAGGAAGCCAAGCGGAAAGGAAAACAAGCACAAGGGGGCCACAGAGGGTAACTAAAGATGCCTTGGTTAAAAAAAACAAAACAAAAAAAATGGCCAAAACTGGCACACACTCTGGCGTCGAGGTAGTGACAGTCCGCTGCTCAAATACTCCTCCAGATATTGATCCAAATAGCTGCAGGTGTGCAGGGAGGGGCAGCGAAGACAGGCACCTCCTGGTGGTGGAAAACGAAGATATACAAGCAGGCCACACAAACTGGATTCCTAACAATTGTTGATAATTGTTTTCCCTACTTGGTTTAAAATTAAGGTTTAAAGTTAAGGGCCAATGCAAGAATCAAGCATCCAAACTGCAACTACTTTTTGTGCAACTTAAATAGGACTTAATAGTAGTGTGAGGATGGTGGACACAAAGATGATCCTCCAAAGCAATCCTGAATAAAAACCTTTGCTTAGGGTTCTGAGAATTATTACTCAATGAAAAACTGTAAAACATGTGGGGCGTTCAACTAAGAATTGTTTTCCAGAACCCAACATAAAATCAACGGTTAATTTTACTATCGCTGGAGAAAACTAAACATGACAGAACTTTAAAGATCCTCCGGTTATAGAAATTTGGGCTTCGGAAAACAGAAAAATCAACATCAAATATTAAAACCAAGACAAAATGTCAATACACTGCATGTTCTAACCATTTATATTTTAAGTTAACTGAATATTTAGACCGCTAACATTAAGTTATTTGCTGTCATGAAGAAAGACAGCTCCAAAAGATTTGGGTTTTGGGTGATTTTCACTTTAAATTTAAAGTAAACATAAACCCTTTTCAGTCTTGGGTCCAACAATTAAACTCTTTCCCTGATTGATCATTGTGTTGCTTTTGAATGTATGATTGATTAATTAGTTTCTTTCTTTTTTTTTTTAGTATATTTTCTTTATTTAAAAACAGTTGGCAGTTTTGAAATGATCCCAAATGAATGACAAGCAGAAACCCTTTGGTCTGTTAATAAAGTTGGTTCCTCAGTAGTTTAAGTGTTGCTGAAGTTTTTGCCACTCCAGATCTTTTTCCCTTTTCATGCCTCATGGAAGTAGGTGACGTTGTGCCATAAACTTGAAAATAGAAAATAGTGCATAATATCAAAGCATGCATTGTGACTCCCTTTTCTTTATATCCAGTCTTTAACTTCTGAGAACAAACAAATCTTTTTTAATACAAAAGTCGTGTATCAGCATTCAGTCAAGTCGAGGTCTGGCCTTTGACTAGGCCACCAGAACACATTAATGGTGAGGTTTGGGATCATTGTCCCTTAAGTAGCCCCCATTTGAGCAAA